CAAAAACCAGAATGAATAAAGCTGAATTAAGTAGCTAAGTTGAAGAAGAGGCACTGGCACCTTGTGTGGGAAGCAAAGCAAGCGAGGCCACTAACTATGACTCCAAATCAATGAGGTAATACTCTGTTTTTAAACTCTTTTAAAGTGCAGGGCTTGAAAAAAATACTTTAAAAAATACTGACACCTCTGTTAAAGTCACAAAGCAGGAAAAAAATAATTTTGAACAGGCACGAACCCGTGTCCCCTGCATCGGCAGGCGGACTCTCAACCACTGCGCCACCAGGGAAGCCCTACCTACTCTTATTAGGTCACTCCAATCAGGTTTTCACCCTGACTCCACTAAAATCACTCTTGACAAGGTCACCAGCATTCTCCATCTTGCCAGAATCTGGGGTCAATTCTCATCCTCATTCTCTACTCCTTCCATTTTGAAACATTTTTTGTTTTAATCAGTGGCTGCTCCTTCTGCATGTCCTTTGCGGCCCCCTCTTTCTAACGTCTGAATAGGGGAGTATCCCATGAATCAGTCTTTAGGCCTCTTCTCTTTATCTGCTTTCTTCTACCTGCATGTGTTCCTTAGATGAACACATTCAGACCCATGAATTTCAATTTTAACCATAAAGTGAAGACACCCAGATGGACATCAGGCTGTAACCTCTCCCTGAGCTCCATGTGTATATACATATTCAGCTGCCTACTCAGCATCTAAAACTGGAAAAATAAAAGACAATTCAAACTTAAAATATCCAAAACAGAAATTCTCAACGTCTACCTGCCAACCTGCTCTTCCTATCTTCCCTACCTCAGTAAATTGTGCTTCCATTCACCTAGCTGTTCAAGCCAACACCCTTATCTCCTCCTTTGATATGTCTTTCTTACTTACTGCATTTATAAGTCCATCAGCATGTTCTTTTGGCACTCCCTTCATACATAACCTGAATCTAACAGCTTCTTACTACCTCCTACGGCTGCCAGCTTTATCCAAACCACCATTACTTCCAGTCTGAACTGAAACTGCTTCCACACTGGTCCTTCTTACTTTTTTTTTTTTTTTTTTTAATTCTTTTTTTTTTTTTTAAAGGAATTTTGCCTTTTTTTTTTTGTTAAATTTATTTATTTATTTATTTATGGCTGTGTTGGCTCTTCGTTTCTGTGTGAGGGCTTTCTCTAGTTGCGGCAAGCGGGGGGCCATTCTTCATCGCGGTGCGCCGACCTCTCACTATCGCGGCCTCTCGTTGCAGAGCACAGGCTCCAGACGCGCAGGCTCAGTAATTGTGGCTCACGGGGCTAGTTGCTCCGCGGCATGTGGGATCCTCCCAGACCAGGGCTCGAACCCGTGTCCCCTGCATTGGCAAGCAGACTCTCAACCACTGCGCCACCAGGGAAGCCCGTCCTTCTTACTTTTGCACTTGACCAGAGGGCTCATTTTAAAACAGAAAGCAGACTATAGCTTCCAATTTCTCTTAATGATTATATTATATGGCCCTTGACTAACTCTGATCTCATCTCATTACTTTACCTTCCTCTCCCCCATGTTCTAGCCATAATGTCTTTCAAACATGCAAAGCTAACTTCTTCCTTAGGCCTTTTCTATCTGCTCAGAATGCTCTTCCTCTAGAGTCAAATGGCTTGAGCCCTTACTTCACATCTCTCCTCAAATACCGTCTCCTCAAAAAAACCTTCCTTCATTTGTCCACTTTTCTATATGCATTTATACTTCAATAAAACTTAACTAAAAGGAAGAAAGAAACAAAGAAAGAAAAGGAAATGAAAAAAATAATGACCTTGTTTAAGATGTCTAACTTTGAATCAACAGTTGTTATTTTGGCTAAATATTTCCTGACTAAACTGTTATTATCTTATTCACTTGGAACCACTGTATTTCATTATTTTTGTAGTATTAACAGTTGTAAATATCATTTAATCAGATGATAGAAAATAAGTTAGGATTGGGAAAAACAGCATATTTTTCTTTCCTTTGGTAGAAAGTGAATCAGAAGATATAACCTTATAAACAGTATGGGCACTGAAATGGCTCTGGTGTTACAAAAGAACTTTTAGCCTAAAATGAGTCTCCTCTGTCAGACCTGAATATAACACAGAGCAAAATATAAAGTGACAACATATATCTCTATATCAAGAGTTTTAAGGATCTTTCTTTAACAAAAGGTCCAAAGAGAGATGAAAATAGCACAGAGGTAGAAGCTAAACCAAAGGATCATTTTCCATATAGTCTATTACATTCATGTTTCTTCCTGACGTGAAGGTAGATATATACACACATGGAAAAAGGTAAATAAAAATGATATTCTGTAAACTAAGGATCTATCTTCTAGAGTAATTCACGTGAAACTTTAGTTGCTGATAAAACATATGATATTATTACCACGTCAAGAACACTCATCTCCATAGTCTTCTATTTCCCATTTTTAATTTTATGAGAAAAGTTAGGGAAGAAAGGCTTTCCTGACCATAACTAAAACAGTTTTCCCATCCCATAACATTCTCTATTCCCTTACTATGCTTACCTTTATTCATAGTACTCCCTTATTACCTAACATTATATTTTCGATTTACTTACAGTTACTATGTTTCTGTAAATCAGGGTAAATCCTCATAGGGACAGGGATTCTAGTTTTATTTACCACTGTATTGATGGTGTCCAGCATAGTGCCCGGCTCAGAGCCCAGTTGGTCGATCGATCTATCTGTCTGTCTGCCTATCTGTCTATACATGCAAAAGAAGAAATCAAAATACAGATAGAATAATACTGGGAACAGAGAGCACTTTTCCATACCTCATGCCCCCTTCAAAGGGGAGGAAAATTAGAAAGAACAACAACAATAAAAAAAGGAGAGTGGTAAATAGGATACAGTAGTACTATGAGTAACCCCAGCTAAGTCCTTAATTTGCTCCCAGGGTCTCAGACCTTTTCTCCTTAGGCCATGGTCTTTCAAAGTGGGTTTTCGAAACAACATCAGAAGGGTGTGCCTCTCCCTTAACTAGCAGGGCAGTTTTCTCTGGTGATGGTTTCCCTTATCCTATTGGCCCTCACTTACCTGGATATTGTCTTCTTCCTTTCCTCACTACTTTCCAGGGCTCTTTTCCTTGCTCCAATAAGGAAATCACATCTGGTTTAGAAACAAAGCATCCTGGACAGAAGAAAAGAAATGTAAGGTCACATGGAAATAAAAAATAAATTCACAGTTACTTTGATTGAGTCTTGGTTAAATTTTTAATAAACTATAGGTCAAATGGTAATTGATAAAGACTTCAGAACAAAGAAAAGTGAGATGATTAAAAAAACATCATGTTAATATTACATAAGAAATGGAGATTGCAGAGGGAGGGAAAAGGTCTTATTTTCATTTCTATTCACACAAGTACTCCTTTTCTTGAGAGCAATAGTGGTTGACAGACGTCTGGGTTCAAATTTTGCCTTTGCCATAACCCAGCAGTGTGACCTTGGATAAGTTACCACTCTGCTTTATTTTCCTCACCTATAAAATAGGGATAATTATAGTACCTATAATACATGACTGTTGTGCAGGTTATGTTAATATATATCCATATCTAAACATTGCCTAGAATATACACTGTGTTACATATATTTTATTAGCTATTATTTACTATAATTGTTTTTTTTAACATCTTTATTGGAGTATAATTGTTTTACATTGTTGTGTTAGTTTCTGCTATATAACAAAGTGAAACAGCTATATGTATACTTATATCCCCATAACCCCTCCCTCTTGCGTCTCCCTCCCACCCTCCCTATCCCACCCCTCTAGGTGGCCACAAAGCACCGAGGTGATCTCCCTATGCTATGCAGCTGCTTCCCACTAGCTATCTAATTTACATTTGGTAGTGTATATATGTCCATGCCACTCTCTCACATCGTCCCAGATTACCCTTCCCCCTCCCTGTGTCCTCAAGTCCATTCTCTATGTCTGCATCTTTATTCCTGTCCTGCGCCTGGGTTCATCAGAACTTGTTTTTTTTTTTTTTTTAGATTCCATATATATGTGTTAGCATATGGTATTTGTTTTTCTCTTTCTTACTCTGACTTACTCTGTATGACAGACTCTAAGTCCATCCACTTCACTACAAATAACTCAATTTCATTTCTTTTTATGGCTGAGTAATATTCCATTGTATATATGTGCCACATCTTCTTTATCCATTCATCTGGCGATAGACACTTAGGTTGCTTCCATGTCCTGGCTATTGCAAATAGTGCTGCAATGAACACTGTGGTGCATGACTCTTTTTGAATTATGGTTTTCTCAGGGTATATGCCCAGTAGTGGGATTACTGGGTCATATGGTAGTTCTATTTTTAGTTTTTTAAGGAACCTCCATACTGTTCTCCACAGTGGCTGTATCATATAATTGCTATTTTAATGAGAGGAAAATAAGAAGTTTCCTGAGGTATTTACTGTTTTTTCTTAGGATATTCATACAATGTTACATGCAAAGTTCTTGGATTTTTAACTTTTAATCATAAAAGTAGGTTGGAGTGAATATGTTTGTTTATTAATATAAGACATGAGTTCTCTTGAACTGTAAATAAATCCGGTTGATACCACTTACCACTAAAAAAATTATGTGTTCATCTGAGAGTCAGAGAAAAACCAAGATATAAGGTCTAGCTATTATCCTTATAGGTATACCAACAAATAACAAAACACCTATAGCAATTCTGAGTTCAGATACAAAGTGAATCCTGCTTTCTTTGACACTGGTAAGGTTGTAAATCACCCAGATTTCAAACCCAGTCCTTTCATCATTAAGGAAGGCCTGAAGGCCACATAAGGATGGGCAAGATGAATATGCTTAGTGAAGGTGCTCACTTCCAAACAAAAAAAGCTCAAACCATTCCCTTGAGAACAGGGAGCAGAAATTTAGATAGTTTCTTGAAAGATATTCCTGAAATTTCCAGAGAAGAAAGCTAATTTTGCAGAGAACAGAGTCTAAATTTCTAGAGGCAGATAACCTTACCCAATGAAACCAAGTTGCTGTAGTTCTCCAACATTACATCTCTATACAAATCCCTCTGTTCCAAGTCCAGGTAGTCCCACTCCTCCTGAGAGAAATCTATGGACACATCACTGAACATCACTGATCCCTGAAATTACAAACCATACAACTGAAATTAAAGAATATTTGTTTTAAGATGGGAGAAAAAAATGGAAGGGATACTGCAGGAAATGGATCATAGAGCAAGCAAACAGGCTTGGGCTGGAAGCCCATAACACAGTAGTTAGGAAATGAGTGTGCTTGAAGCAGGATGCCTATATGTTCCTGAAGGATCCTGTTGCTACAGATACAGCCTCTTGTATACTCTAGCATATCTTAACTATCCAAACACATCTGGGGAAAAAAAAATCAGTATGTATGTATGTATGTATGTATGTATGTATGTATTTATTTATTTATGCTGTGCCAGGTCTTAGTTGTGGCATGCGAGATCTTTAGTTGCAGTATGCAGACTTCTTAGTTGCAGCATGCAGACTCTTAGTTGCGGCATGCATGTGGGACCTAGTTCCCTGACCAGGGTGCAAACCCGGGCCCCTTGCACTGGGAGCGTAGAATCTTACCCATTGGACCACCAGGGAAGGCCCTCAGTTTTCTAATTAAATGAAATACTGTGTATGAGCCTTCTGCCTATTGTATGTCTCCCTCACCAATTCTCAAAAAATGTGTTCTTCCACCCTTTCCCCTTAAAGAACAAGTTTTTTTTAAAAAGTTCTCCTATGATATCTCTATGTTGGAAAAGGATCTGAATACAATTAAAACTTTCTTCCAAGTTCATCATTGAATCAGATCATAAACATTGCCCCATTTATGACAAATTCTTTAATGAAATTTTAAAAATTTGTTGTATAATAGTCTATGCAATAGATATCTGCATGATCTTCTTTATTTTTTTTTTTTTTATTTTTTAACATCTTTATTGGGGTATAATTGCTTTACAATGGTGTGTTAGTTTCTGCTTTATAACAGAGTGAGTCAGTTATACATATATATATGTTCCCATATCTCTTCCCTCTTTGTCTCCCTCCCTCCCACCCTCCCTATCCCACCCCTCCAGACAGCCACAAAGAACCGAGCCGGTTTCCCTGTGCCATGCGGCTGCTTCCCACTGGCTATCTACCTTACGTTTGTTAGTATATATATGTCCATGTCTCTCTCTCGCCCTAACACACCTCACCCTTCCCCCTCCCCATATCCTCAAGTCTGTTCTCCAGTAGGTCTCTGTCTTTATTCCTGTTTTACCCCTAGGTTCTTCATAACATTTTTTTTTTCTTAAATTCCATATATATGTGTTAGCATACGGTATTTGTCCTTCTCTTTCTGACTTACTTCACTCTGTATGACAGACTCTAGATCTATCCACCTCATTACAAATAGCTCAATTTCGTTTCTTTTTATGGCTGAGTAATATTCCATTGTATATATGTGCCACATCTTCTTTATCCATTCATCCGACGACGGGCACTTAGGTTGTTTCCATCTCCGGGCTATTGTAAATAGAGCTGCAATGAACATTTTGGTACATGACTCTTTCTGAATTCTGGTTTCCTCAGGGTATATACCTAGTAGTGGGATTGCTGGGTCATATGGTAGTTCTATTTGTAGTTTTTTAAGGAACCTCCATACTGTTCTCCATAGTGGCTGAACCAATTCACATTCCCACCAGCAGTGCAAGAGTGTTCCCTTTTCTCCACACCCTCTCCAGCATTTATTGTTTCTAGATTTTTTGATGATGGCCATTCTGACTGGTGTGAGATGATATCTCATTGTAGTTTTGATTTGCATTTCTCTAATGATTAATGATGTTGAGCATTCTTTCATGTGTTTGTTGGCAGTCTGTATATCTTCTTTGGAGAAATGTCTATTTAGGTCTTCTGCCCATTTTTGGATTGGGTTGTTTATTTTTTTGTTATTGAGCTGCATGAGCTGCCTGTAAATTTTAGAGATTAATCCTTTGTCAGTTGATTCATTTGCAAATATTTTCTCCCATTCTGAGGGCTGTCTTTTGGTCTTGTTTATGGTTTCCTTTGCTGTGCAAAAGCTTTGAAGTTTCATTAGGTCCCATTTGTTTATTTTTGTTTTTATCTCCATTACTCTAGGAGATGGGTCAAGAAGGATCTTGCTGTGATTTATGTCATAGAGTGTTCTGCCTATGTTTTCCTCTAAGAGTTTGATAGTTTCTGGCCTTACATTTAGGTCTTTAATCCATTTTGAGCTTATTTTTGTGTATGGTGTTAGGGAGTGATCTAATCTCATACTTTTACATGTACCTGTCCAATTTTCCCAGCACCACTTATTGAAGAGGCTGTCCTTTCTCCACTGTATATTCCTGCCACCTTTATCAAAGATAAGGTGACCATATGTGCATGGGTTTATCTCTGGGCTTTCTATCCTATTCCATTGATCTATCTTTCTGTTTTTGTGCCAGTACCATACTGTCTTGATTACTGTAGCTTTGTAGTATAGTCTGAAGTCAGGCAGCCTGATTCCTCCAGCTCCATTTTTTGTTCTCAAGATTGCTTTGGCTATTCGGGGTCTTTTGTGTTTCCATACAAATTGTGAAATTTTTTGTTCTAGTTCTGTGAAAAATGCCAGTGGTAGTTTGATAGGGATTGCATTGAATCTATAGATTGCTTTGGGAAGTAGAGTCATTTTCACAATGTTGATTCTTCCAATCCAAGAACATGGTATATCTCTCCATCTGTTTGTATCATCTTTAATTTCTTTCATCAGTGTCTTATAATTTTCTGCATACAGGTCTTTTGTCTCCTTAGGTAGGTTTATTCCTAGATATTTTATTCTTTTTGTTGCAATGGTAAATGGGAGTGTTTTCTTGATTTCACTTTCAGATTTTTCATCATTAGTATATAGGAATGCCAGAGATTTCTGTGCATTAATTTTGTATCCTGCTACTTTACCAAATTCATTGATTAGCTCTAGTAGTTTTCTGGTAGCATCTTTAGGATTCTCTATGTATAGTATCATGTCATCTGCAAACAGTGACAGCTTTACTTCTTCTTTTCCGATTTGGATTCCTTTTATTTCCTTTTCTTCTCTGATTGCTGTGGCTAAAACTTCCAAAACTATGTTGAATAAGAGTGGTGAGAGTGGGCAACCTTGTCTTGTTCCTGACCTTAGTGGAAATGCTTTCAGTTTTTCGCCATTGAGGATGATGTTGGCTGTGGGCTTGTCATATACGGCCTTTATTATATTGAGGAAAGTTCCCTCTACACCTACTTTCTGCAGGGTTTTTATCATAAATGGGTGTTGAATTTTGTCAAAAGCTTTCTCTGCATCTATTGAGATGATCATATGGTTTTTCTCCTTCAATTTGTTAATATGGTTAATCACATTGATAGATTTGCGTATATTGAAGAATCCTTGCATTCCTGGAATAAACCCCACTTTGCATGATCTTATCTATCATTTTCCATCCCTCACTGTATGCATTCCTTATTCCTGAGTTAGAGGATACTGATGTAGATTCTGGATACTGGTGAGCCAGAATCACAAAGATGTCATTCTAGACTAGCTCATCCAGTTCCAATATAAATGGTATACAACTCTTAGGGATTTCCAGAGAAGATACTTGACTTCCCTGCATGCAAGACCCAACCATAATCCTACCTAGTCCTAAAAGCCTCATAAAACATGAGATCTCACCATGTACTGAGGCTGAGGTCAACCAACAGCAAATCTTACCTACTTGGAAAACTCAAGTTTGGAAAAATTTAGCGTTTTCCCATGAGCAGTCAAATGGGCCCATACTCTCTCAACTACTCAAAAGAGATGGTGAAACATCTCCCTAAAGGGATTTCATTTCTGCTCCACTGCAGCTTTTAGCAGAAGACTGAGCACATATAAGAGATGCTGAATGATTTGTTCAATGAATATATGAACAATGACTGGAAAAAAAAGGACTCACAAGAAGGGCATTGTACTATTTATTTGGCCTCATCTCTCACTGGATTTGGAGGAAATGGGTCCTTAGATGGGGCTCTGATAAGTAAGAAGTTTCAGGATAAACAAAAGTTTATAGGACCTTAACTTCCAGAAGGTGAAAGAAACAGCAACTTACATGGGCCATGGTTTAGAAATTCAAGAACTGGTCAGTCCTCCTTGGGGTTTACTTGCCTGGAGAAGCACAGTTCACAGAGGCCAGAGCTAGGGGGAGAAAAAGGGGGCCATGAGATAGGCCTCAGAACTCTCAAAACGACTCAGTTTAATATATTCTTTCCCCTCCCTGGACCTCCCCACCACACACACACACACACACACACACACACACACACACACACACGGAAATTTGAGGAAGTATGGACAAATCTAATCCCTACTTATAAATTTCAGGGCTGATAAGGGACCACATCATCTAAACCAGAATCTCTTTCAAAACCTCACAAGCCTGCTTAAATTAAACAGATACAAAGAGAGAAATTCATAGGACCAATGCTAGCAGCCGTTACCACTGAGAAATTACTAAACTGGCAGCCCTGCCTGCCTGCAGTCAGAACAATAACTTCCTGAATCCTCTGGGCTCATCACTATTTTCAATCAGAATCATCCACATTGCTTTCCTGGATGACTTCATTTGTCATTCTGTTTCTTACAACCTAGGCTGAAGAGGTGTGAATTCATGTTGTCAGCAGTTAGACAATAACACATATCTATTTATCAAGACTTTTCACAAGAAAATGAAATAAAAGGCATCCAAACTGGAAAGGAAGAAGTAAAACTATCTCTATTTGCAGACATGATATTATATATAGAAAATCCTAAGGACCCCACGGGAAAACTGTTAGAATAAAAGAATTCAGTAAAGTTGCAGGATACAAAATCAATTTACAAAAATCAGGTGCATTTATATCTACTAATAATGAACTATAAGAAAGAGAAATTAAGAAAACAATCCCATTTATAATTGCATCAAAAGAATAAAATAACTAGGAATATATTTAACCAAGGAGGTTAAATATACCTGTACACTGAAAACTATAAGACACTGATGAAAGAAACTGAAGATGACACAAATAAATAGAAAGATATTCAATGTTCATAAATTAGAAGAATTAATATTGTTAAAATGTCCATACTGCCCAGAGCAATCTACAGATTAAATGCAATCTCTATCAAAATTCCACTGGAATATTCCACAGAACTAGAACAAACAACCCTAAAAGTTGTATGGAACCACAAAAGGCCCCAAATAGCCAAAGCAATCTTGAGAAAAGAAAAAAGCTGGAGGCATCATGCTTCCTGATTTCAAACTATATTACAAAGCTACAGTAATCAAAACAATATGATATTGCCCCCCCAAAAAAAAACAGCTATATAGGTCCATGGAACAGAATAGAGAGCACAGAAATAAAAGCCATGTGTACATGATCAATTAATTTACAAAAAGGAGCCAAGAATATACAGTGGGAAAAGGACAGTCTCTTCAATAAATGGTGTTGTGAAAAACAGACAGCCACATGCAAAAGAATGAAACTGGACCACTATTTCATACCATGCACAAAAATGAACTCAAAATGAATTAAAGACTTGAATGTTTAAGACCTGAAACCGTAAAACTCCTAGAAGAAAACACAGGAGGCAAGTGCCTAGACATAGGTCTTGGTGATGATTTTTTAACACCAAAAGTAAAGGCAACAAAAGCAAAAATAAACAAGTGGAACTACATCAAACTAAAAAGCTTCTGCACAGCAAAGGAATCATCAACAAAATGAAAAGGCAACCTACTGAATAGGAGAAAACATTTGCAAATCATAGATCTGATAAGGGATCAATTCCAAAATATATAAAGAACGCATAAAATAGCAAAAAAAAAATCTTGATTAAAAAATGGGCAGATCTAAATAGACACTTTTCCAAAGAAGTCATAACAGATGGCCAACAGGTACATGAAAAGTTGCTCAACATCACTAATTGTCAGGGAAATACAATGAGATATCATCATATACCTGTTAGAATGGCTATTATCAAAAAGACAAGAAATAACAAATGTTGGCAAGAATGTGGAGAAAAGGGAACCTTTGTGCACTGTTGGCAGGAATGTAAATTGGTACAGCCATTATGGAAAACAGTATGGAGGTTTCTCAAAAAATTAAAAATAGACCTATCACAAGAAAAAAAAAATTGTAACTATGTATGTCCACAGATGTTAACTAGACTTACTGTGATCATTTTGCAATATATACAAATATCAAATCATCATGTTGTACACTTGAAACTAAAACAGTGTTCTATGCCAATTATACATCAATTTAAAAAAAGAAGAGAAAAAAAGGACTTCTATATGATAGGTATTTTATATGTTAATTGTATCTGCAGGATTGCTATGCAGTATCGTAATTATCCTATCTATGCAATGGATCAGAAAATTCACACTAAAAGAAGTGAAATCACTTGTAGAAATTCAGTTAATAAGTAGCAAAGCTGCATTTGGAATCCTTATTTTTTCTAACCACAAAGTCAGCTCTCTTCCACCTCTAGCTCTTGCCCCTGAAACCCATCTCTTGTCACAGTGAGAGAAACATGAGGAGGTATGACTCACTAAAAAATAGAAATAACACATCAAATTACCTAAAGATATTAAACCTCATTTTAAGAGTACTGATGCCCATATTAGCAAGTTTGTAAGGATATGAACATTCTAACATGTAGACTGCACAAAATTTAAGGTAGGTACAAGCAGCATTTAAATTATGAAAACCCTTTGATGCAGAAATTCTAACTTATGGGATTAAAGAAAATATTAAATAATTGTATATATGGACAAAAATGTAAAAGTGTGCTGACAGACATTATTCCTAGGGGAAAAAAGCTTTCCAGAACTGAAGCATCCTTCAGTAGAAATAGATTTAATAAATTATAAAGCATCCATAGAGTGAAAAAACTTTCCATTTAAAAATTATGTTGTAGGGCTTCCCTGGTGGCGCAGTGGTTAAGAATCCGCCTGCCAATGCAGGGGACACGGGTTCAAGCCCTTGTCCGGGAAGATCTCACATGCCCCAGAGCAACTAAGCCCGTGCGCCACAACTACTGAGCCTGCATGCCTAGAGTCCGCGAGCCACACAACAAGAAAAGCCCCCGCAATGAGAAGCCTGCGCACCACAATGAAGAGTAGCCCCCACTCGCCACAACCAGAGAAAAGCCCACACGCAGCGACGAAGACCCAATGCAGGCAATATAAAATAAATTTTAAAAATTTTTTAATAAATAAAAATAAAAAAATTATGATGTAGATATTTAATAGGAAAGATGGAAATATGTTTACTACATGTTGCTGAGTGAAGAATGCAGGTAACAACAGTTGTGAGTACTGTGATCCTGTCATGGCAGGTAAAAACACCTATATGTATCTATATACTCATGTATGTGCAAAGTAATCACTAAATGCTAAACTTTATTATTAAAAATTTTTTTTCGATTGAGGCATAGTTGATGGAAAATATTATATGTTTAAACTTTAGAAAGTACACAGACATACAAAATATTCAAGATATGCAGTCTTTAGAAAAATAAAATGAAATGGATACTATAATTATATTTGTAAACTATACATATATATTGGCATAAAGAGGTATTAACAGGCATCAACAGACAGAAAAAAATCTGCAAAGATTGCTATTTCTACATTGTGATCCTAATTTTCTTCTTTTTGCTTACATTTACTTCATAATTTTATATGGCCATATATACCCTTGAAATATATATATTTTTAAAAATTTTATAAACAGGAAGTTTTTCTTCAAGTAGGTGAAAGAGATTTTTTAAAGCAGTCATCCCTTGAACATGGAGGAAAAAAGCTGCTATTTTTTAATTTATTTCAGCTCCCAATATCTGAACCAACTCTATGATTTCTAAGTTTCTGCTGCCTCTCATAACTTTTTGACTGATGAATTTACCTTGGTTCAGAATTAGTCATTTTAGTCACGATGCCCTCCAAAGAGCTAATGAATTGTCTTTGTTCTGTTGGTCTCGCCTTGCATCAACGTCATGAGGAAAAAATAAACTGTGAGACAAAGCTTATTACATAAAATCCAATGACCTCCACAGAAACCTGATGGGTTTGGTACTATTTGGTCACAACCTGATAGTGCTTGCTATAATCAGATGATGTCTCCTTTCCAGGAACTCCCAAGCCATGCCATCAGACTTCTTCATTGACTTTATTTTAGTCTTATTCCTGTAGAGGATTATCTACGTTGATAGATAAAAAGCAACTTAAGGATTTTAGTTACTGTATTTCCCCAAGCACTAGCACAGGATCTGGCATGATATGAGTTCTTTTTAAATGTCTGATAATTTAACCTAGAAATTCCAATTCTAGGAATTTATCCTTAGGGAATATTTGTAAAAGTATATACAAAGAAGTATATGCAAGGAAGTTCTTCAAAGAATAATTTATAACCAAAAGAATACCTAACAATAGTCAACAAGCTAAATAAATTATGTTCCACTGTATGATGGCATATTATACAATTATTAATAATGATGATACTGGTTCATATTAATTAAGAAAGATATCCATGATAAACTGCCAAGTACACTAGGCAGACTAAAAAGAATATGCACAATGTTGGGAGGTGATTGACTCTCACATATGAAAAACACAGGCTTTGTTGTCAGGATCCAGTATGTGAATCTAAGCACTGACAGTTATCAACTAGGAGGCTTTGGACACGTTACTAATTTTCAGTGCCTCTGTTCCCTCATAGCAAAACTGGAGAATAATAACAGTATCTAGGGGACTTCCCTGGTAGTCCAGTGGTTAAGACTTTGCCTTTCAATGCAGGGGGTGCAGGTTCGATCCCTGGTCGGGGAGCTAAGATCCCATATGCCTGGAAGCCAAAAAATGAAAACATAAAAACAGAAGCAATACTGTAACAAATTCAATAAAGACTTTAAAAATGGACCACATCAAAAAAATAACAGTATCTATCTTATAGGGTTGTTGTGAACCGTTAATATAATACATATAAAGAACTTAAAGCAGCTTGTTATAAGCACTGAATAAAATGAAAAACATGTCCATTCTATTTATTAAAGAAAATTATCTTTAACAATTTTTAATTAAAAATT